CAGCTAAAGAGCCACATGTTTTTTCCGAACTTTATGCACTCAGAGAACTAGCAAGCAAAAGAAAAGAAATTCACAACACTGAACAGTGAGATTAGAAGAGAAGGAAATGCTGCTGGAACAAGATACTTGTTTCTAACTCATTTCCCTGTTTTCGGCTGGGATAGAGTTAATTTTCTTCCTAGTAGCTGGTACAATGCTGCGTTCTGGCTTTAGTCTGAGAATAATACTGATAACACACTGATGTTTTGGTTGTTGCTAGGGAGTGCTTACTCTAAGTCAAGGACTTTTCAGTCTCTCATGTTCTGCCAGTGAGGAGGGGCACAAGAAGCCAGGAGGGAACAGAAACAGGACACCCGACCCAAACTAGCCAAAGGGGTATTCCATACCACAGAACATCCTGCTCACTGTATAAACTGGGGGAAGTTGGCCAGGAAATACCAGTCACTGCTTAGGGATGACTGGGCATTGGTCAGTGGGCGGTGAGCAACTGTATTGTGCTCTTTCTCAGGTTTTATTTCTCTTTCACTTTTTGTTGTCTCTCTTTTCATTACAATTATTGCTACATTTTGTTTCAATTATTTAACTGTTCTTATCTCAACTCATAGGTTGCACCTTTTTTTCTGACTGTCCTCCCTAAACCCCCAGAGCAGGGGTGAATGCGCAAGCAGCTACATGGTACTCAGTTGCCAGCTTGGTTTAAACCACAACACTCCTGCTTCCTATACAGGCTGCGAACAGTACAGATTCTCTGGATGAAACTGCAAAGCCTGAGCTTTGCCTCAGCTGTCAGTGCTGCCTCAGGTATTGCACATCTCCCCACAGTCCAACAACTCTGAAATACACAAACGCTTCTGGGCAGTACCTTTTAGAGACGTTCGAACCACCACAAAAACTGTTTTCATACTGCCAACTAGAAAGAGGGTGGTTTAAGGAAGTACCAAATTAACTGCCATACCTAAACACCTCCAAGCTCACCAGCATTTTTCATCTTTCCCATGCCAGCTTTTCCCTGCCAAACTACAAAGGAGGCTGTAGTACATATATGCATTAAACTGCAGTAATGCATGCAGTAGATTGAAATACTGCATTCACTGGCTTATGGATTCAAAGTCTCACTGGGAGTGCTGCAGATCTACATAAAGACTGGGTGGCTGGATTTGACTCTCTGACGTATGTAACAGATGTGTAAAGTAACACATAACCAGATGCCTCTCTAGTAAATGTACAGCTACAGACTGAAAAACCCTAAAAAGTTGTGTCCAAGGGCAAAGAAGAAGTGGGAGAATAAGAGCAGTGTCCCACATCTAGCAAGGAAATAAAAGTTTAGGCTTTATGAATTTTTTTTCTACATACAAGAAATGGATTTTTCATGTCTGTAATTCAATTATGGTATTATGAGAGGGTTTCTAAGCAGCTGGGGAGTCAAGCCACTGTGACCTAGTTTGCTCCATGCTAGGCTGATCAACTGTTTCTTGGTATCTGTGAAACTTCAAGGTCCTACCTCCAAAACCTCCACTGTGACACCAAAAACCTTCAACCAGAAGGGGAGTCTGACTCCTCAGAAGGAAAACTCCTCTGGACAAAAAGCATAGGGCTGTGTAACAGTAATCATCACAGAGGTCCCTCTCTACCCCTTGAATTGGTTTGTCCTGGCCACAGTGGCTTGGAGAAAATAGCTGGTGTGCTTTCACAATAACCTTCTAAGGCAGATGAGAATGGTGGGTGAGAAAAGGCAAGAACTTGTTTAAAAGCCTCAATTTAAAACTTCTGGGTGCTCCCATTTTATGAAGTAAGTTAAAACTACTCTCTACTAGAAACTGTGTGAACCACTGACTTCAGATCTGGATCCTGCCTTTTGCAAAGCTGCTGGTGGGCTTGGATCCAAGGCTTTGGTTCAAGCTCTTATCTACTCCATAATAAAATGACTTATACCATACGTCCTTTATAATAAATAGCCTCACAGTAAGGAAGCACAGTATCGGCATGTTTCATATTTACATCACTCTTCTGAAAGCCAATGCACACGGTTTAAGGAAAGAACTGGAAATATTACAGCTTTCAAATACTTTGCCTTATGTGGTTTACAGCCAGCATAGTCAACAGCTATGTAAGCTTCACCCATTTTTACATGGTGTGTTAAGCAGGGCAAGTCCCAGGTAATGCCCACCAGGGCTGAGTAGATCAGGCACGCTGGCAGCAGTACAGGCACAGCCACATCCCACCACAGCAATGCTGTGAAACTCCACTCTCCCACCTCCCCACAGTGAAGGTCTCCATTCTCCATTCTCCATCACCACCACCTCCTCTTTACAAAGGCTCACACACGCTTACAGAAACAAATGAACAATTCCATTATGTGCCTGGCAGCCTGTGCACTTTCTTTCTGATTTAGAACAGAGGTGCCCCACTGAAAAGATCCATATATGGGGGGGAGGGGGAGGAATGACTAAAAAAATCTAAGCAAGTCTCCAGCAAGCACACATATTATCAAAGCCTCATTTCCACTTAACGCAAGTTGCTTTGGGAACTAAGGCAGCTGACTTGAGAGGAAAACACAAACAAACAAACAACCTCTTTTTCCATCAGCTGGGGGGCGGAATCAAGCCAGTGCCATCTTTGTTGAAGAGCTCCATGAAACTAATGGTTTAAGAGAGCTGAGGAGCATGGACAGGGGACAATTTGTGACTGATCACTGCCATCTGAACATGGCACACTGACAGCTGAAAGAAGAGCAAGAAAGAAAGGCAAAACAAAACCAGCATGTGTTTAGTCTGGACAGGCTCAGTCCCTGTATTCACTCCCAGTGAAAAACACAAGAGAGGAGGAAGTTGGTCCCTTTGGGTGCTCAGCTCAGCACCCATGTAACTCCCTGGCACACACCAAAGGACCTTCTCCAGGCACACAAAAGGGGGCAATATTTATTCGCATGCTGAAAAAAAAAAAATCAAGAAAGGGCAGGAATAGTGCTACAATTTAATATACCTTAAAATGAGTCTTCCGCCACCAAAGAACTTGCCTTTCTTTAATACTCCACAAATAAGCTCCTCCTGCACTCTCCAATACAAAGAAAACTAAAAAAGATTCAAGTTTTGTGACTACAACAGAAAGCCGATCAAATTATTATAAAGACCATACAGGTGCTACAGAGATACCTTCCCCTGAACTTCAACACACGCTTCCTCCAAGAGCAACAAGGAGGCAGCTGTGAAAGGAAAATCATACACATTATTCTGGTCTGACGTCAATGAAAAGAATACAAGAATAAAAGCATTTGGATTTATGCTCTGCAGAGCTGAGGTGGAATGCTTGCCACCAGAAGAGTGGGACAGAGAGAAAGCAAAGGTGGGCTGCGAGTGATCACACATGGGTCACTGCAGTGCACTCCTACCTCTCACCAGTTTGGACAAGACTGTCACCCTATACCTGAAACAGGGCTCACTCCAAAGAGGGAGACATTTCCCCACCTGAGCCACAGGGATGGGGAGAGAGGGGAGGGTGAGAACCGGAGCCCCTAAAGGGTGTACAGCAGCAGTTTCAAGCAGATTTGCATCAGTACCTCATTTCACAACTACAAAAATCACCTCAAGACTCCTACCAAGAGAGTCTCGTATTCCTTTTTGGACTCACAGTTCCTAGTGCAAGACCTGCACATAAAAAGGAGCTGGCTATACTGATTTGCTGAAGCTTTAAGATAAATCAGTACAAATACCTACAGGGCTATTACAATCTCCCAAGCAATGGCTCTTGTCCACTAACCAGAAAGAAAATATTTAGCTCCCTGAAGTGAGCCTGTTGATTTCAAAAGAAACTTAATAGCTCTATTCCTACAAAGCAAATACAGAGCAATCACCAGGGGCCAGCTATGCTCTCCTCTCTTCTGAAACATGGTAAGCAACAAGGTCTGCAAATGCCACCAGCCAAAGGGGTTTGATATTCTGCACATTTGTGGGATTGTTATCCCCTGCTTCTTCCATTTTCGGTGGGTCTTTTTGATTCTGCAGCTTTCCTACAGCAATTTTGTCTCTTTCAGCATACTTGTGGGGCAATACAGAGTAAATAACTTGAAAATCTTATTTAAGAAAGAGGCTGGTGGTTTTAGTTTTCTTTATGCAGCATTTTCAGTGGTTACGAGTTTTACAACTGCAACATTTTCTCTTTGCTAGACAAAAAAACCCAACTGGGAGGTCATTCTTTTCTAGTGAGACATGAAAACGCAAAAATGATCATTAGAGGGAAAAGGTGAGCTTTTCCCTGTTATTCTTCATTGCCTTTATTAAAAAAATTATTAACTCAGGACCACAAAATTCCACCTCACTCAGGGAACTCTTAGTTCAGCTGCTATTCAAATATCTAAGTGCAATCTGCAACTCTAGTTATGAAATGGGACGTTATTTGCTTTCTACATTTAACTCTACTTGTTCAAAGACACACTGATGAAGCAATTAGGGCAGATATATTATTAAAGTTGGCACAGAATTTACAGCCTTTGTTAAAAAGTATGGTATTTCAATAAGGCACTTAAACATAAAAATGAGGACTATATACTTAATACAAAAATATCACGAATGCTATAAAATCAGATTACTCATGACATTATCACCAACAGTAAGAGAATTGTATATGCATTTTTCTGGCTGTGCATTGTGTGTTCTTCAGTAGCTTTCTTCTGCACAGTTCCCATACAACACAGACTCCAAATTTGGAAATATTTAGGCCCATACCTAACTTTTCAGGGAGAATAGCTCATTGATTTAAAGAGCATTTAGCCCTTAAAAATGTTTGCCTGTTTGTGGGATTAGACCTCCTGGGGCCCATTTTCAAAAAGGTAAGTGTATTACACATTTTTGCTGCTGTTTCTGGGTTTGCCATTAAAGTTCTCTCCCTCCCTCTCCCATCTGTTTTCATTGTCTCCGATAGAAATATCACAACACTCTGGGGTAAATAATGATTAATTTAATTACAAACTAACTGTAACTTTTGCAGACCCTCCAATAACTTACCTCGAATCATGTGAGTGTTTCAAGATGCAATTGTAAATCTTCTTTTTTCTCCTTTTCTCACAGGAGGTGTTGCAGTCTTTTTTTCTGATGTTTTGCATTAAAACACTCCCTGTACTCCAGGATCTTAAATGAAAACAAAACAAGAAACACTCAGAATGAAAATGTCATTTCAAGCCATTGGTGGGTGTCTCAGGGGAAATCCCTGACCTTTCTCCAATGTATATTTCATTATCTAACCAAGTGTGATAACTCCCCACAGCAGAAGCAGCATGAACACTCTTCTGTGGGCTGTCCTTAAAAAAACAGCCCCAAAATCCCCTAAAAACAAAACACACACACCACACCACAACCCCACTATTCTAGACCACTCAAAACCATGCTACTTTTAAGACCTGCCATATAGTACACTACAAAGTATTCATCTAAAGCACAATTCAGTATATACCAGACTCCACAAATTTATGAGGGTGAAAACAGAAGAAAGTCCAGAGATACAAATCAGGCCAAAAAAAAAAATAATCATTATGTAAAGTATCAAACTCTTACATGGGAGAGCAATCAGCAGTTTTATTATTATTACTACCACTCTTGTTATCACTAATAATATGTATATGGCCAACTCCCTAAATCTTCACTGAGTTACTCTAGTATTTCTGTAGTAGCGGTGTGGGGGAAGTAGTAGCTGTGCTGGAGAAGCAGTGCAGCGTTAGCACTACGAAACCCAGCCCGGCTGACGAGAGAGGAAGGAAGGGAGGAGGAGCGACAAAGCAAATGAGTAAGAGAAACTGGCAGGTCTGTAATACAATCAATTTTGACATTCTCCACCATCACCAAAAAAGGTCTGAATGAAGGAGTTTGAATTTTCAGCGAGTGCTGCTTCCAGAAGCCTTTCTCCCCAGCCTCCATTTCCCCCTCCTCCCTCTCCCATACCTGCAGCAAAGCAGGCCAGGAGCTGGCTGGGTACCTAAGCCTCCAAACCAGGCTCTGTCAGCAGGAAAATCCCCTGGCTATGAGAAGAAAACACTGCCAGACAGTGCAGAGTTCGCCTTCCCTCTGAGAGCACAGTCTTGCATTTGCACGGCCCCTCTGGATTACAGGCATCCCAGTTATTTCTCTACAAACAAATTTTCAGACCAAGACCTATATTCATTCTTGCTCTGTAAAAGTCTGAAAGACAAACTGTTCCCAGGGCTACACCTGTGCCTACCCCCACTGAAGCCAACAAACTTTCAAAACACAGTGAAGAAGAGGGGATGTGACCTTGCAAGCATGTAAGCCAGATCACTTTGCTTTTTCTTCCTCAGCTAGGACAGACAAACAGCACCGAGTAATTTTTAACACTGCTTTTAATTAAGAAACAGAGAGATTGTCCACAGCCTCCTGGGGCTGTATGTACTCCAGAAAACACAACTTTTCCAAAAGCAGTCAGAAATTTGAAAAGTACAGCTTTCAACATCACTGTTTATTCCCACACACACCCAGAGAAAACAACCCAAAACTCTGAGAAGGCCAACACAAACAAGGGGGAAAGTGGGCTTCCCTTGACACCTGCACAAAGGCTGTGCCTGCGTCACTGCTCCCCTAAGCTGCTTACAGTACAAACAAATCCAAAATACCCCATTTAAATTAGCCTGCTCCCCCACTCCACGGTGCCTGTTCTCACTTACACGGTGCTGCTGCTTTCAAGAAGCCTGCTCTCACTCAACATGAGTAAAGGTTGCAAGAGCTAAGCCTACAAACTTGCAGGAAGAGGACAAAGCCTTCTAAAGCTGCGACACAAATCCAGAAGGCTGGAAGTTCAAAGTGAAATAAGGACAGTCTGTGCATGACTCATGCCACCTAGAAACCATTCTTAATTTAAGAAAGTGTTAAAAGGATTATTCTACGGAGTGTCACCCTGCTGAATCAACTAAGTTCTGCTTCTCATTTTTTTACCCGACACAAATACAAGGTGGCCAGGGATTCTATTTTAAGATTAAAATCAGCATAAAATCCTCCTGTTCTCACTTACATACTTATATTTTTAATGCTCCATTTAAAGAGACAAAAATGCTGTTTGAGGGACAGATACCCAGCTATCCTCCAGGCTTTTTGCAGGACCTATGGGCAAATGCTATGTGACACTTTCTGAAGGGCTGAAATAGCTGTGAGTGACACTTGAGCTTCTACAGGGCAACTAAAGTGTAAGAGTTTGGCTCCTAATTCACACTGTCACATAACCCAAATATTCCTGTGCCTCAGTTTCCCCTTCCTGTACAGCAAAGATAAAAGCACATTCCCCAATCTCAGAGGGCTGATGCAAGGAACACAACACCCATGCTGATTTAGTGCATAATCTGGTAACATGGACAAAGTTATAGATCTCTCAACTCACATGAGGCTGAAACTTGACATCCACGGAAAAAGGCCCTATAAACCAAAATGAGGAGTGAGTCATCAGCCTGGCCCTCAGAAATCGTTTTGCTGGATAGCCATTTCGCTTGTACAACTCTCCTCTCTTGGGTGCTCCCAGCAAGCGTGGGGGAGACTGAATGGATTCACTGTAGTCACAAAACAGTTTTACAGCTGCTGAAAAAAGGCCCATTGTAGCCCTGCATTCTACTGTCTCGAGTAGCATACATTAATTTGCTGTACAGCTTCCATTACCCATCTGATCCTTACAGAAACAGAAGCAGCAAATCAGGGTTAGACAAATGAAAAGAGATTTTACTGTGATGGAGAAAATTTTCTGGTTTGCTAAAAAAAAACCAAACCAAACAAACAACCCCCCCCCAAAAACAAAACAACAACAACAAAAAACCAACAACAAAACAACAAACAAAAATCCCCCTTTAAACTGGTTCTGCCCTGCTTTTGGGGGGTTAGTTTGTTCGTTTTGCTACATCATGATATTGTGAGCCAAATTTCACAATCAGAAAGGAGCTGCAGCCCTGCCATATGCATATGTGCTCTTCCTGCTGTCACTGTCCACTCATGGCTTACACTCCTCTGCATTTATGGTATTTGCTCAGTAACCTGAATGGTATCAAAACCAACTGTGACCTCTTAATACAGAACTATTCAGTCGCACGTACAAAGCTTCAGTCGACAGTCACATAATGCTGGACTTTGCAAAAACATGTAAGTAGATTTGACAGCCCCCTTCTAAATGTCTTGATTTTTCTCCATGGTGTCTGTCGAGTCAGGGAGAAAGAACAGTCCTGAATTACGCACATTCCTCCCAGCATTCAATTACTCCACTCTCCCCCTTCTGGAGAAATGAATGCAGCTTCAAACAAATTAAAGGAGAATTTTGTCAGCTCTTTCATTCTTGCTGGTGCAATAAATGAGGTGGTACTCAGCTTCTCTAGCCCCCAGCAGAGCCAAATGAAGGCTCACTCTGAAGTACAAATCTCCCTTCCTCCTCCCATACACGCACACCATACACAGCGTTAACCCTGCCATCTGCAAAGAAGAATTTGGCCAGAGTTCCCTGAAAACAGCAGCATATCACACCAGCAGCGTGCTGTACTGCTAACCCCCAAGCATTTAATGATGGTCAATCGGCACACATCTCCCCAAAACACTGTGAGACTGGACAAAAAATTTACAGGGTCTTTTTTTCCTGCCTTCTGGCTTCAGAGCCGCAGGAATGCATCAGGTGCTGTGCTGGTCGGTGCTCAGAAGGCAGATACATTTTGCTTTCCAGAGAAAGCTGAGACAGAGAATACCCCTTGCTTTGGAACCTCAAGTATCACAACAGTAGCAGATTGATAAAATGCACCAGTGGGACCCCTCTTTTTCCCCAGCCTTCCTTCATTTCACAGCAGTGCTTCTCTCAAAGGGCTGATGGAGCTGAACAGACTGAGCTGGTTTTTCATTCTAGTCAGCTTGTACGTTTCCTAAGTTAACACAGCGTGGCTCTGACGAAACCTGATAAAAACCCACAGCAGTGGAAACAAAGAATCAAGTTAAGAAACAAATGAAACCCCAGGAAAAACTACAAATAAAGAAATATATGATATGATCTCTGCTCATACTTTTTGATTTGGGCAGGCTTGTCTACCTCCAAGCCTGGGCAACAGATGGGACTGCAGCCTCCCTTGCCAACCTCAGGCAAGCAGTTCTGAGGTGGACCTGGACAAAACCACTGTAGTACTATCACATATGACAGTACAGAGCCAAGGGCCAGATCAGAGCAAAATGAACTGCTAAAACATGGCCTCATTTTGGGACTAGCTACGAAGGATGGAGAAATGGCAGTGCTGTGCTCCCTGCACACCTCCCGTCATCGGGACAGGAACTGTTTTCCTCACATCTCCCAAGAACAGGCCTGCTGCCCTCCCTTGCCTCTGCCTAGGATCTGGCAGGTTCAGACACATGTTCCCACCTGGTACTGACTCTTTGTCTTGCCTTCTGCTTGTAAGTACAAATTCCATAAATTCCCCTTTTTTCTAAACAGCCAGACTGCCTGTATTGCATGACTTTCGGAGTGAGGACTGCTGGCCCACCCTCACTGCCACCATGCCGTGACGCAGCCTGCTTATCATTTAAAGGTGATGCAGGGCCACGCTCTCTCACCTACCCAGAGAGGTGTTAGGTGTTTCCAAGCCATAATCACCCCAGCCTACCAGGCACTGACCTCAGGCCCTCCCTGGCACCTTAAGTGCCATCTTATGCCAGTGCCTTAGCAGAGCATGAAGGCCAGAGTCTTGACTGCACCACAAGTCAGCAGCCTTGTCCTGTGGCAGGGAACCCCATCATACGAGTGCTTGTGCTCACGAAGGCACAGCTTTCCTTCACTCCCAGCTTCTCAGAAACAGGAGTGCTAATGGGCGAGCAGCTGACTACCATCCACTCTCACTGGCTGAGCTGGTCTGGACAGTAACACCCTGTTGTAAAAGTTCAGTGTGTTGCACATCAAAAGCAGCAGATGAGTGTATCTCTCGGCTAAAGTGCAAGTATAGTTTAGGAAGAGATTATTAAGAAAATTGCCCACAGAAGTTGTGGCTGCCCCATCCCTGGCAGTGCTCAAGGCCAGGCTGGAGGGGGCTTTGAGCAACCTGGTCTAGTGGAAGATGTCCCTGCCCATTGCAGGGGGGTTGGAACTGGATGATCTTTAAGGTCCCTTAGACTAACCCATT